CTGCTTCTCCCTCTCCCACTCCCCCTGCTTGTGTTCCCTCTCTCGCTGTGTCTCTCTCTGTCAAATAAATAAATAAAATCTTTAAAAAAATAAAAGGTCCATTATTTAAAAAAAAAATGAAGTAGGAAAAAAATTGCATTGGTTTAGGAAAAAAAAAAATGCTTTAAAACCTAAGCAACCAGCATCCTGCAAACAATATTCTTTCTAGAAAGATGGATTTGAGGTTGCCTTTTCGAGCGCTCTTGGTTATTAAAAATGTTTTTCTCTTGCTGTCCTTTTTTTTTTTTAATCAGTCTATTCAGAACTGGAAAACCAAAAAGCTGCAAAAGAAGGAGGAAATTTTCAAGTTGAAGGAAAAGGCAGAGAACATCTCTCTGCTCCTGCACAATAAAAAAGAAGATAACCAGAAGCGAGAAGAGGAGCAAAGAAAGAAGCAGAAACTGGCCGTGGAAGCGTGGAAGAAGCAGAAGAGTCTCGAAAGGTCAATGAGGCGTGCCTCCCAGGTGAAAGAAGAAGCAGAGAAAGAGAAGCATCAGCAGAAAGAGCGCCGTCGCCAGTTTAAACTAAAAGTGCTCCTGGAGAGTTATGCCCAGCAGAAGAAAGAGCAGGAAGCATTTCTGAGGCATGAAAAGGAGATGAGGGAAAAGGCGGAAAAGGCCGAAAAGAGGAAAACCGCTGCCGAGGAGATCTCCAGGTTTCAGGAACGAGTGAGTCAATAACAGTTCCTGGGTAGCCTTCAGGGCCCCCCGTAGGGGTGTTGCCTCCAGACTGAGGTCGGCGAAAATGGGAGACCGCGCAGAAGTGGGGTGATGGAGGTGGTGGGCTGGGGTCTTCAGGAGGCAGGCAGGCAGTGAGGGAAGCCTTCCAGAGCTGCGGGTGGCAGACCGAAGGGGATGCTGGGGTGGAGGCTTGAAGAAGAGGGGTGGGGGGGGTGGATCCTTCCTGGCAGAGGGAACAGCATGAAGGGCAGCTCGCAGGAGGGTGACGGTGTGGTTTGGGGGGAAACCTGTAAGAACTGCAGGAATGTTAGGGCACCACCCAGGAGCTGGGAAGCAGCAGGGGACGAGGCCGGAAAGGTGGCCATGGGCTGGGCCACGCATGTCCTGTCTTCTCTGCCAGACCGCCGGTCTCTACCCCACAGGTGATTTGCTTACTTGTTCACTGTCCATCTCCCCACCATCGTGAAAGCTCCATGAGAGCAGAGGGTTTGTCCTTTTTGTTCATCCTTGTACCGTAGGGTCTGGTACAGTATAGAAACTCAGTATGGACTTAAGGGAATCAAGGTTACTGCAGAGAGGTAGGGGATAATAGGCGAGTTTAAAAAAACATATAGAAGAAAAATGCTAATAGAAGAAAGAGTTTACAGTTTTACTATTAAAGTGGAATTCAGTCCAAAAAGTATTTAAAAAGATAAGGAAGACTGTTTTTTCTTTTTTTTTTATTCTTATGTTAATACCCATACATTACATCATTAGTTTTAGATGAAGTGTTCCATGATTCATTGTTTGTGCATAACACCCAGTGCTCCATGCAGAATGTGCCCTCCTCAATACCCACCACCAGGCTAACCCAACCTCCCACCCCCCTCCCCTCTAGAACCCTCAGTTTGTTTTTCAGAGTCCATCGTCTCTCATGGTTTGTCTACCCTCCGATTTCCCCTGCTTCATTCTTCCCCTCCTGCTACCTTCTTCTTCTTCTTTTTTTTTCTTAACATATATTGCATTATTTGTTTCAGAGGTAGAGATCTGAGATTCAACAATCTTGCACAATTCACAGTGAGGAAGACTGTTTTTTCAAGATTTATTTATTAGAGAGAGAGGGTTGAGGGCGCGTGCATGTGCGCATGGCGGGGGGGCAGGCAGAGAGAGAGAATTTCCAGCAGACTCCGTGCTGAGCGTGGAGCCCAGTGCAGGGCTCAGTCTCACGGCCCTGAGATCATGACCTGAAACCAGGAGTCGGGCACTTAACCAACTCTACCACCCAGGCACCCCAGGAAGGATACTTTAAAATGAAAAAGCGTTCAAATGAGATAGAACTAGGGGCAGCTGGGTGGCTCAGTCAGTTAAGTGTCTGCCTTTGACTCAGGTAATGATCCTACGGTCCTGGGATCAAGCCTCCAGTCAGGCTCTCTGCTCAGCAGGGAGCCTGCTTCTCCCTCTGCCTGCCACTCCACCTCTTGTGCACTCTCTCTCTCTGTCAAATACATAAATAAAATCTTTTTAAAAAAATGAGATATACCTGTTATGAAATAATTCTTATGAATTGTGATATGCATCAAAAGACATATAAGCAACTGTCATAAAGCAAAAAATAAGGGAAATGCAAAGAAAAATAATAGACAAAAGCACATTAATGGAACTTCCCTTAGCCCATATGTAAAAATCTTCCTAAATAACAAAAGATCCCATGCATTCTTCCCACCGCCCACCAAAAAAGGCAAGCAGGCCTCACAATAAAAGACCTAGAAAAAAAAAATCATGTAAAACAAAAAATATGTGAGAGATCTAAAACCAGACATACCTGTATCAATAAGTGAAAATAGGCTTAGCTCAACTATTAAAAGAAAAGGAGTTTTAGATTGAACTATAAAATAAAACAAGAGATAGCTAAAGAAAGTGATTCAGAAAGGATGTGCATGTGTTACATTTATATTCAGGATAAATACAGCTCTTAGCCTTTGTTGGAAAAGGTTAATATTGAAGTCTTGATATTTAGGGTAATTTAATTTTACTTGCAAGCAACTGACCTTTGAAACAAATTCCACTGAATTTTATTTTCTTAATGTTACTCTTCTTTTGTTGATGTATTTTTTTAGGATTTACATAAACTTGAATTGAAAATTCTAGATCGACAGTTAAAGGAAGATGAAAAGGCAGAAAAACAAAGGAAACTGGCAAAATTAAAAGAAAAGGTGCTGTGTGCTAAGATTTATTTTTATTGTTACTATCCTAACTCCTTGATTTGTAAGGAGACAAGCATAAAATCCATTTTCTTTATATCCAGAGCTCTATTTCTGTATCACTTCCTCTAGATTTCGTACTTAACGGATTTACATATTACAAAGCACAGTTTAGTACAACTTAAGCAACTGTTGTTGGAATTCTGCCATTTCACATTCTAAGCACCTTATTTTCTTTTACCCTGAATTAATTTTCTCTTCCTACTCTTCATTCTGTTTTTCATTTTTTTTCTGTATATGCCTCTGTTTTAGACCTATGGCAGCTAGGAGCATTGCTTAATCTCCCTGGGAGTACACGGACTACAGATGTTGGTGACTCTCATGGGAACGGAAGGAACGAAGGACTTCTGGTGGTTATTTATCCTAAATTTATTGTCTGGCTATCCCACTATCACACTTGGTGAAATTACATTTCCCTCAGAACAGAAACAAAAAATAGAAAAACAGTGGAAGCAGAATAAAGTAATTGAACTAGAAAAAAGAAGCTAAATTAACAGTTTATTAATAGATTGATGGAGTCCAGATTTTAGGTTAGCTCTCGGAGCACAACCAGAAGTTTGCTGAAAAGGTTAACAGTTTTTTTTCTGTTTAGTGAATGTCAAGGATGTTTCTTATAACTGCTTGCTGTTGTTACTAAAGATCTCACTCACTAGTCCAAACTTAATAGTTCATATAAAGTAACTGGCACTCATTTTCATTCTGATTACAGGTTGAAAACAATGTTAGTAGAGATCCCTCTAGGCTTTACAGACCTACCAAAGGTTGGGAGGAACGGACCAAGAAGACGGGACCCACAGGCTCTGGGCCACTTCTGCATATCCCACACAGGTAAAAAGGAGTTAGAGTGGGTGTCCACTTTATAACAACTTAATAACTACATATTTATATTTTATACAATTTCTATATGCATGCTAGATTTTACAGTAAAAAGCTGGTAAAAGTTGCTAAATAGTGTTCAATTATATAGATGTTCTATCATTCCTATACATTGAAAACTTGAGCTATTTACACTTCGTACCTAATGACATAGAGTGGCATTTTACATGGTGGTTAGATTCTGACATGCATATGTCAACAATCTTGTATGGTCAAAGTCACCCATGAAAAGCCTTTTACTTATATAGGAGGCATATTATCTCTCAGTGAGTCCACCGTAGAATTTAATTAGGATTTTTTAAAAATTCCCTTTGTATTTATAATTGCCCTTCTTCTTCTCCCTAGGGCTATTCCAACCTGGAGACAAGGACTTGACAAAAGAATATGAGATAATGAAGTTGGTATTCAGTTGATGAGAATGTCAGCATTTTCATACCAGGAGAGAGTCAATAACTATGTTCTTTAAATAGTACTAGCCCCAGTCAGATTGAGAACTGTGTTATATGTGAATCGACAGGTACTGAGTTTCATGCGGCATTGTTGTAGCTCGTGTTTATACTCAGAGGGTATTTAATGTGTATGTTGGCCTATTATTGATGTAAATGTTTTTTGAATAAGTGTATGTTACAAACATGATTTCATTTAAATACTCAGAACATTTCAAAGATATTTTGTTTTTGTCATGGCATAGCAAAATAAATTGGGACAATCATAGACTAACTTTTTTTTTAAACAAAAATTTTTTAACATTTATAACTTGGAGGTGAATTAGCTCAAGTAACAAAAATGTAAAGGTTTTCCTTTTTTGGGGGAAGTAAGTTAGTACTTTTCTAAGTTTAACAAATTGGTAGTTTGTCAGTTGTTACATTTTTGTGTAATAAATATTTTGTATTTGTTGGAAGCATGCTTTGTTTTATATAGAGAATATTTATTTTAAAAATATGCCTCACCTCATATATATCCTATTATTTGTATTACCGATATCTTTTTGGTTTCCTTTAGCTATTCCCAATTTCCCTTTAGCCTTTCTGGATGTCACACATTTATAAAGCCTTTGTGTCTATCACATCTTCCTAGCTGGTGCAGTTTTCTTTACTGCTTCTGTTTGACTCAAAATATTTGGTCAAAAGAGTTAACTTTAAAATTTCCAAACTTTTGTACGTGAAAACGCAATTTAACTTAATTTGACTCAACTTTTCATATTATAAAATCTTAGTTCCTAACTTTAATCATTTCCCATCTTACAGGAAAGATACCATATATGTAATAAATATAGAAAACTCGTTTCTTTTAACTTTTATCTTAGAATATCTTTAATTTATAACTTGATACATCTAGGCCAAATGACTCAGAAATTTACTACTAGTAGTAACCTTTACTTATTTCACAGTTAATCATCAAAGCAGATGGCTTCCAAATTTTGTAAACCGAATTCTGATTACACAATTACTGGTGCAAAATGAGAGAAATAACATAAAACATCCTTAATCAGGAATGCGTGTTTTATTTGTAGTCCTTGTTCTCTATAACTTTTTTTTAAATGATTGGAGGCAGTTTAAGAAATAAAATATTGAATTGGACAACAGGTTTTAAACACAGAATGGAACTACTACAAGATAGAAAAAAGGTTTCTTACATAATAGATTTTGAACATGTTGTTTTTTATTGCACAGAAAGGCAGCTATCCATTTCCTGCATCTAAGGGAAGCATACTGGGTAGTGTGATTTTATGGCTTTTTGTCTGTTTTTTGGTTTGTTTCTTAATAAAAGTATGGAGTTTTCTTTGACAAAACCAGTCCTTCTAACTGAATCTAAAATAAATGAGGGATTTATTATATGGATCCTCTATATAAGGTATAGAATAAGCAATAATTAATAGTATCTTCAGTTATAGGCTCATAGAAGAGATAAACATTTCTCATACTGATTTAAAAAGGATATGAGTAAGAAATTTAGAAAAAATCCCTAAAAGGAAAATGTTAATAAAGCACCCATAATTCCATTACTCCAGGGTAACTTTTTCCAAAAATATGCCTACATATTTTAAAATAGCTATAGTCATTTTATTTACTATACTAAATCACATTATACATACTTTCCTATGTTTCTATAGAATTCAAACATTATTGTTTAATGGCTAAATAATATTCAATTATATAGATGTTTTATCATTCCATTACTTTTTACATGGGGGTTGGATTCTGTCATGCATATGTCAGTAATCTTTTGTGGTCAAAGTCACCCATGAAAACCCTTTTACTTACCTAGGAGGCATATTACATTATTTCTCAGTGAGTCCATCATAGAATTTGGATCAGATTGCTGATTCCTGAGCTGAGAATCAGATGAAAATATTTGGGTTCTCTTTAGTGGCCCAGTTGAATAGGATTGTCTTTCTGAGCATATATAGACTGCATTGTTCATCCTAATAAATTAAATATGTGTGATATGACTGCACTTTGAACATGCTCAGACATTTGGTGGTGCATGTTTGTGAGAGTAAGATCTTAACTGTAATAACAGAACGAAAACTCTAGACTGGGGCATACCTGAAAAGCAAGGAGTGTGGCCTCCCTGTTTGTAAGCAAGCCCCAAGAACAGCCCTCCGCCCATACCCAGCCCTTTGGTAATGCGGTATTTGTTAAAGACATACAGGAATACCTGTGAATAAGTAGTTACTAGTACCTAAAATTAGGCGCTCTGGATTACTGAATAGGTAGAAGATAACTCCAGCCCACACAGTATGTATTTTAAGTGGATTTGTCTAAGAAAGCTAACAAAATCATACTCAAACTTAGCCTAGCTGACTATAGAGAACTTAGGTTTGAGCCTGATCTTTGGGTGGATTTTTTCCCCAAAGACTGCCTCGTGACGCAAATAAAGTTCCTCTTTAAAAAAAAAAAAATAGCCAGAAGCATGTTGTTTCATTTTTTAATATACGGGTAGTTGGTGAACATTTGAGCTTGTCTGCTTGGCAAATTGATGTAACATTGATGAACACACAGACTCAAGCATTAAGAATTCAATCTTTTAAGACTTGAAAAAAAATGATGCAGTCACACATACGAATGTTATAAGTCTATATTGTGTGTATATATGTATATTGTGTATATATACAATATACATATCTATTTTAAGTGATTGCTGGTATCCTAGAGAAGACTAAGAACGCCTCTGAACTTAGGAAGCGTCAATAATTATTTAATAAACATTTATCTCCACGGCTTGATTTGAAGGTCTAGCCTCCCTATCCATTCAGTTTAAAACCGGGCCTTCCAAAAAGGATTTATTCTGATGCATCCATTTTCACATATACCATCGTTTCGGGCCGTGATTGTCTCAAAGCGAACTAGAAGCTTTTGATCTTGCACTTCCTCTCAAATATCTAACGAGGATAAAAAGTTCTGGAGGGATTTGTGGGCTGAATTTTACAAGGCTCGAGAGGGGTGTCCAAGCCTGCGGGGCTCAGAATAGAAAAGGTGGGATCTAGAGAGAAATCCGAGGCATAAAGCGCTGCGTAAGACCGCTCACAGCGAGCAGCTTTCAACTACCGACGGGCGCGCGGCCAGCGCACTGCCCATCCCCGCGCGCCATCCCCGCGCGCCAGTGTCGCCCCTCGGGGCTCCTTCACGCCGCGCGCCAACTGCTTCCGGGTCGCGGCGGACGTTGCTTCCGCAGCAGCATGGCGGCCACGGAGGATGAGCGGCCGGCGGGGAGCGGCGAGGGAGAGCGGCTGGATTTCCTGCGAGACCGGCACGTGCGGTTCTTCCAGCGCTGCCTCCAGGTCTTGCCCGAGCGTTATTCTTCGCTCGAGACCAGCAGGTAACTGGTGGTCACGGTCAGCGGGGGTGGGCACGGGGCCCCGGCCCCAGCGGAAAGGCACCGCGGAGCCGGCCGGCTGACCCGGCGCCTGCAGGGCCTGCGCCGCCGCCCACCCGGCCCTGCCGGGTTCCTCTCCTCTCGGGCGGGTCTGCAGTCACCCTCACTCCCCCGAGCTATGGGGGGAGGATTGGGGCAGCAGTAAGTCGAGGGCTTGTGGAACCTCCAGTTTCTGCCTTTATCACTTCCCAACCATTTTTCCTGTCAACTCTGAGCTTCCTCTTTATTCCCACTACGAGGCTGTGAATCACTTGGCCTCGTTACTTCCGAGTATAGAAGGAAAAAGACCAATCATTGTAGGTAAATAGCCTCGCCGGTGCTACCCTTTCCTCCAAAACGTTATTAACTCTGAATTGAATATCTGTATGGGGTGTTACGTGTAGGAGCGGCGCAGAGCCTGTAAGGTTTGAGTAGAAATTAACTTTCCAGGAATTGTAAATCTAAGGGTAGGAGAAGGTTGGCGAAGAGGTGCAGTGTTCCGTGAAGCAGCCTGTTAAAAGTGTATTTGCTGTAGCCTTGTGAGTTGGAGTTGGCTGAGGAGTGTGATTTGGCTGCGGCTAAAAAACTGTGAATTAGTCATTCAGAGTAAAAGTCTGGGGATGAGAGGAAGGAGGCGGTCCTTGCTCTGCAGTGCTGTGTTTTGAGTGAGGCTCCAACGCCGCGTGGGACTGGATAAGGAGAGAGCCGATTGGTTTTGCTCTAATCTCTCCGTGTTTTTTGAACTCTGATTCTCTGGTGTATTTTGAACATTTCATGGCTGGGTCAGATTTGTAAGTTTTATAGATTACTTCTGCCTAGTGCTCTAGAAATTTAGTATGAGAGGAGCTGGAGTACAGCTGAACAAGACAAGTGGTTTCAATAGAGTTCTATGCAGCATAGGGTTAATGTGTGTTAGCATGGGGTTAATGGGAGCGTGTAGGAAGGGCAGATATCTAGCCCAGACTTCTTTAGAGAGGCCTTCCCCAAAGAGATCCATCCCTTCCAGTCACCACCTGAAATGATATATTTATTGGTTTATTTGTTTAATATTTTTCTTTCACGCGGGATTGTAAACTTCACGAAAGATCTTTGTCTAGTTTACCTCTATGATACTAGAGCTGCCCTGTCCGATGTAGTAGTCGCTAGCCACATTTGGCTGTTTAAATTTGGATTAATTAAAATTAAATCACATGAAAAATTCAGTTCTTCTGTTTGCAGTCGCCACTGCATTTCATAGCTTTTGTTGCTGTTTCAACATTTCCATCATCCCAGAAAGCCTTTTGGGCAGTACTGCACTAGGACCTTGAAAAGTATCTGGCGTATAAGAGGCGCGAAGTAAATACTTGTTAAATAATGTGAGCAGAGCCCTGAATAATGAACACATTCTTGCTAAAGGAAGAGTGAAGCATTATTTATAGTCCTTTCTCTATCCATAGGTGTTGATTGATCATCAGAGCACATCCCTAGACCTAAATTAAGGTTTCCAAAACTTACCCCACTGAGTAGAACAATATGCTATGAAACAAAGGATGTTAATAGATCACACATTTTATGGGGATTAATTTTATGTGAATTTGAAGCGTTTAGATAAAAAAAAATCTTCCATCTTGTGCTTGTTAAACAGTTGAACTTTGCTCGTAGCTGTCATTTTAGGTCTGTGGCTGTATTTTCAAAGTGCTGGTGTGTGCTCTATTTAAAATTCCAGCATGGACAAAACCATATATACTAATGCGTGTTGGTAAACTGTGTAATGGTGCTCATAGCGTAAGTAAAACTGCAAAAATTGTCTGATTGAACAACTGATTTCATAACTTCAGTATAATCTTAGAATCTACACCAGGCATTATATAATAGATGATAATGTATAATGTCATGGTGCATTAGTTAAGAAATATTATGTCCTTTTTATGCCTGATGCTTATCACTTGAGTAGAATATTTTTTATTTCTTGTTTTCTTATGGCACACTTAATAACCGCATTTAAACTAATGTGCATATAGCAGTTTTTGTAGTGATTTTTTCAAGTTTTTCAGTTTTTCTCTTTCCTGAGTCAGTCTTTGCTTTCCTTAGTTTAGCGTTAAGTCCTTTTGTGGTGTATGTGATTTATAATTGTATGCTTATGAAGGAGCTCTGAGCTTTTAAGCAAAGGCAACGGATCACAAAATTTCTACTGATGCCAAGAGTTTTCAGATAAAACGATGTGTTTGCTAAGTCACAGTTCTTAACCTGGTATTGCTATTTAATTCCATAGACATTTGTTGAGTGCCTACTGTTTGGGTACAGGGATGCAGTGCAAAACCGGTGATTTTTGGTGTGCCTTTCTTCTTACTGATAGATGTGACAAAGGAGACTCTCAGGAAGGCTGATAACGGACTAAACATTTAGATACTTATTTTTTGACCCACCGTTTTGGCAAAATTACTTTCATTTCCCTTTTGCTTTTAGTTTGACAAATAGGACTGAATAATTTTTATTTTTCTAATAACAATGGCTTTATGAAAATAAAGTGTTGTTTCACCTGTGGCTTTTTTTCATATTAACTTCTGAAAGGTGGTAGTTATTAGTTACCTCATGTGAATATTAAACCTTGGGTTGTGAGCTTTGTGCATTAACAGGCTTCTTTTTTGTGAGTGGTTTAGAGAGTTTTTTGGTCATAAGTTGTTACTGCCATTTGTATTTGGGTAATGGGAGTTAAAATAGGCTTTTTTAATCGGAGAACAAAATACTGACCATTTTCTATGTTACTTTTACAGATCCAGCTGCTCTCGAAGAAGGGTTTAGATGTTTGGTTTTTATTTTACAGGACATCACAATCTACCTAGTCTTTCCTAGTCCTTCCATATTCCCCTATGTAGCCTGTGTTGTAACTGCTCAGCTGACTACCGTCTAGCAACTACTCTGCTCTTTCATTCCCTCCCTTACCTGAAATATATTGCAGTCCAGCAGTGTGTTTCTCAAAGCATGATGGCGACGACGGGAGGCTCTAAATCAGTGACATCCTCACATGCTTATAAGATGCAAGCACCTGGGGCACCTGGGTGGCTCGTCAGTTAAGCGTCTGCCTTTGACTCAGGTCATGATCTCAGGGTCCTGGGATCAAGCCCAGTGTCAGACTCCTTGCTCAGCAGGGAGCCTGCTTCTCCCTCTCCCACTCCCCCTGCTTGTGTTCCCTCTCTCGGTGTGTCTCTCTCTGTCAAATAAATAAACAAAATCTTTAAAAAAAAAGAAATACCATGAAGCCATGAAAAAAATGAGGGGGGACATACGTATATTGACATGGAAACTTAACCACATGTATTTAACCACATTTTGTTAAATGAAAACTGCTTCTCACAAGGCAGTATGTATAGTATAAAACATTTCTGTGGGAAAAATAATGCTAGTATGGTTTAATAATACGTGTGCACAGGAATAAATCTATAATCAGAAAAAAACTGCAGTCATAAACATTAGCTTTATAAAAGCACAACTGTCTTATCCTTTAGGTTAAGAAATGTTGATAAATTAAGGCAACATTCCGTTTTCTCCTAACATTTTATTCTTGGTCCTACTAAAATACGACATAACCGTCTTTCCATGTTATTTTTTTTTACAGTTGTTGAAAAGCTCAGAGAAATGATGGAAGAAATTGAAAATGCGATTAACACTTTTAAGGAAGAGCAGAGGTTGATGTATGTTTTAAGTTCATTTTGATATAAAATTATTGACCTTTATTTTTCATTACCTCTCCACTAGGTTGTTGTACACAAGCTATTTTATTGTTCTGTATTTAATATTAGTCTTACACAAGAGCAATATAGTACCTCTCTTCTTTTATTTTAGGTTTCAGATTGCTTTTCACGTTTCAAGTGAATTTTCACTTATATTTGGAGAAGATAGAAAACCCAAATAAGAATTTGAAAGATGTTTTTTTCCCCCTCTTTATAATGTTAATAATTGTAAGTCGAGAAGATGACATGTAAAGAGTCAGGAATAATGAAATTTGAGGGGAAAAAAGGCAAGGTCGATATGGATTTGTTTGTATCTTATTATTCAAAGTTTACCTTTAAAATTTCAGTTATGAAGAGCTTCTTAAAGAAGAGAAAACCACCAATAATGAGTTGAGTGCCATATCAAGAAAAATCGACACGTGGGCTTTGGGTAACTCAGGAGCAGAGGCGGCTTTCAGAGCCGTGTCAGGCAAGCTTCCTGTAGACAAAGAAATGCTGAGCACTCTTCCAGAAGAAGTGGTAGATTTCGAAAAATTCCTTCAGCAAACAGGAGGGCGACAAGGGGGCTGGGATGACTATGACCACCAGAACTTTGTGAAGGTGAGAAACAAACATAAAGGGAAGCCAACGTTCATGGGAGAAGTTCTAGAAAACCTTCCTGGAAGAACACAGGAGGAAGTTCAGCAGCACGAGAAATGGTATCAAAAATTTCTGGCCCTGGAAGAAAGAAAAAAAGAGGTAATAATCACAACAATAGCTATTACTTGTTGTATGTTTCTGTCTTCCAGGCACAGTGCTAGACTCTTTAACATGGATCATTAACTTTACAACCACTCGTGAAGTGTGTTTATAGTCCCCTACCCCACTGTCCTATAAAAGAGAAACTGAAGCAGTGAGAAGTTAAGTAATCTTACCCAACTAAGGGAGCGCCAGTTGAACTTCCTCAAGACCAAACATTTCTACCCTAAGAAATACAACGGGCCAGAAAACTTCTGATGGTGGGCAAAACCCCCCTGTGTCCGCCTGAAGTGTGGGAAATCCAGAGCTACTTAGGCTTTTGGTAAAAGTCATCTTACCACCAAGGCCTGATTGTTTTCAAGAGAAAATAAAAAGGCGGTAGGGAAAGACTCTTTGATTCTTAAATGTTTCTTGGAGTTTTGGAGCTTAAGCCTCATTGTTTATTTTAAAAGACTCAAGGTGTTGGCTACCCCAGAGGAAAGACTAACTCTTACTGGTAGCAAATACCTAACAGGTTCCATTTTCACAATAATATTACTCTGGCTTTGGTTTAAATCAGGACTTCTCAACCTTGGCACCGTGAACTGTTTGGGCTGGAGACTTCTTTGCTGTCCTGTGCACTGTAGATGGTTAGCAGCATCCCTAACCTCAACCCTCTAAATGCCAGTAATACCCCCTTAGTTGTGATCATCAACGATGTCTCCATGCATTACCCAGTGCCCCCTGGATGGCAAGAATTGCCCCTGGTTGAGTACCATGGGTTTAGATAGTCTGAGTCTGAGTCCCTTTTTTTTTTTAAGATTTTATTTATTTGACAGAGAGAGAGAGAGAGACAGCTAGAGAGGGAACACAAGCGGGGGAGTGGGAGAGGGAGAAGCAGGCTTTCCGCCGAGCAGGGAGCCCGATGTGGGGCTGAATCCCTTTTTTGTAGACTTTCACTATAATAAACATCAGCTAGCTTGGTTTGACAGCAGAAGTATGATTGTTCAACAGATGACGTACCTAAGGAGCATTAAAGAAATGTCGATTCCACATTTAATTTAAAATTTTAGAGAAAATAACTAGGGTTCATTTGTTGTTTTTTTCTTCCCTTCAAAATAAGTTGAATGTAGGAAAATTGACATTTGGGACTTTAAGAAAATTTTTTTAAATAAGTCTTTTTTTGTTGTTCTTTAGAGAGAGAGAGTGTGCAAATGTGCACTCATGGAGGGGGTGGGGAGGGCAGGAGGAGCAGAGGGAAAGGGAGGATCTTAAGCAGGCTCCACATCCAGCACGAAGCCCATCACGGGGCTCAATCTCATGACCCTGAGACCGTGACCTGAGCCAAAATCAAGAATCAGACGCTTAACCGACTGAGCCACCCAAGCACCTCGAAACAAGTCATTTTTAAAAATTCAAAATAATGAGCTGTTAAGAATTATTTGGGCTTTTTTTTCCAGGATACTGAAAACATGGGGTCCCTGGACCAGCAAAGTCAGCATCACCTAGGACTTGTTAGAACTTTCTGGGCCCTAACCCCAGACCTAATCTGAACTCTGGGTGTGGGGAGCAATCTATGTTTTCACAAGGCCACTGGGTTATTCCGTTACAAGCTCAAGTTTGAGAGCCACCTCTCTAGGGAAAAGGAGCAGGCACAGTGCTTCTTGTAATAAAGGTGAACCACCTGGATTCTAGCTCACTCTTCTTCTCAGTCTATTTCCTGTTGTTTGACACCTGATTGAATGTAGGAGTGAGGTAGGTGGGGTGTCAGGTTGTGGGACTGTTTACTGAAGTAGGACATGTTGGAGAAGAGGGAATTTTGGGGGAGAGCCTCAGGAACGTAGTTTTAACTCTACTGAGTTTAAGATGATGAGTAGGAAGGTGCCTGGCTGGCTAGTGAGTGGAATGTGCGACTCCTTATCTCAGGGTTGGGAGTTTGAACCTCACGTTGGGTCTAGAGATTACTTAAAAATAAAATCTTTTAAAAAAAAAAGATGATGAGTAGGTGATTTTCCATTTTTATCTCCCACTCCCCTTAACATGTCCTGTGTTTTGCCCAACTGAAGATAATGATTTTCAGACGTGCTCTGAACTTTCTGGCCCGAGCACCCTTGCTTGTCTTGTTCTGTCTTTCTGGAGCCTCCATTCTTTCTTCCCCGCCTTCAGTGCCAGCCCATCAAAATCTGCCCAGATCAGATGCTACTTCCTGCTTGCCCACTGAGACACAGGAAGTCCCCTCAGAATTCACAGACACCTCGTGTATACCTCTTTTTTTTTTTTTTTGGAGATAGAGTGTGAGCAGGGGGCGGAGGGAGGGCAGAGGGAGAGGGAGAGAGCAGTCTCCATACCCAGCACTGAGCCCACTCCAGGCTCAATCCCACTACCCGGAGATCATGACCGGAGCCAAAATCATGAATTGGACACTTAAGCAACTGAGCCACCCAAGTGCCCCTTGTTTATATGTCTTCTTTGACATGCTGGGGCACATACATGTGCTAGTGTTTATGTATGTATCTTATCTCACCTGGAGCTGTGCTACTCAAACTTGGTCCATGGACTAGATGTTAGTTTGTAAGCTGTTGCTGGTTTCCAGTAGGATAAATCGACTGCACCAGAATCAGCTACTCAATAAGCACACTGTTTAGTTAAGTTCACTTTTTTTTTTTTTTCCTGTAGAAAACTTTCTCATTGAAGGAAGCAGTACACTGATTTACATTCTGGCGTAAATTGCTGATATTTTTGTGGACCTGCACTTTGAGAGACTCTGTTCTAGATGGCACTTGGTACTGTTTTAATTATCTGTGGCTCCTATCACACCACCTTGCGTATAGTACACGTACCACAGGAATTTGTCTCATGAATGTATGATACACCATGAGAAAAGATGAAGAAACAGTGTCCTGACTGGAGGGGAAAGTCATTCAATAGATGTATCCTTTATGGCTGCTAGCAGGCTGCTAGAATTTTAAATAATATTTATATACCCGTAAATGCAATATAGCAATTTTATTTTTTTTTCACACTTGTGAATCAGTATGTGCCAGGCACTGACTCACTGCATCTTCACAACAACCCTGTTTGAGAGGTACTACCCACTGCCTTTACAGATGAGCAAAATGAGGTCAGAGAAGCTTCGTGACTCATCCAAGAGCACACCTACTAAATGGCAAAGCCAGGATTTGGTCCCAGACGGCTGGCTTCAGACCCATGCTCTCAAGCAGCCCACTTGTAATTCCTCTTCTGATATTTGACAGAGAAAAAGTCACTCAAAGTATTCTAAGCCTAGACAGAGGGTTTGGAAGCAGAGTGAGTTGATCAGAAGAAAGAGATGTTCCCTATGAACGCAAACGAAGCGGGTAAAGGAGAGGAGGCCACTTGATGAGGTGCAGTCTTTGTGAACCTGGGGATTAAGAGAGGAAGAAGGCCAAAAGGATAAACCAATACTCAGTGTTTAAAAGGTACATTATTGGGGCGCCTGGGTGGCTCAGTCGTTAAGCGTCTGCCTTCAGCTCAGGTCATCCCAGGGTCCTGGGATC